CCCAAATACTCTACCAAAGAACTCCTACAGCTGATAAACGCCTTTAGTAATGTGGCAGGATACAAGATCAACTCCAAAAAATCAGTGGCCCTCCTATACACAAAGGATAAAGAAGCAGAGAGGGAAATCAGAAAAACATCATCTTTCATGATAGCCACAAAAAGCATAAAATATCTTGGGGTAACTCTAGCCAAGGAAGTGAAAGACCTATTTGACAAGAGCGTTAAGTCTTTGAAGAAAGAAATTGAGGAGAATACCAGAAAATAGAAAGATCTCCCTTGCTCTTGGATTGGGAGAATCAACATAGTAAAAATGGCAATTCTACCAAAAGCAGCCTATAGATTCAATGCAATCCCCATCAAAATCCCAACAAAATTCTTCACAGACCTTGAGAGAACAATAATCAAGTTTATATGGCAAAACAAAAAATCCAGGATAGCCAAAACACACTTATACAATTTAGGAACTTCTGGAGGCATTACCATCCCTGACTTCAAACCCTATTACAGAGCTACAGTATTGAAAACAGCTTGGTATTGGCATAAGAACAGAGAAGTTGACCTTTGAAATCGAATAGAAGACCCGGATATTAACCCACAAACCTATGAACACCTGATTTTCTACAAGGGAGCTAAAGATATGCAATGGAAGAAGGATAGCATTTTTAACAAATGGTGCTGGCATAACTGGATGTCAACCTGTAGAAGAATGAAAGTAGATCCATATCTATCACCATGCACAAAACTCAAGTCCAAATGGATTAAAGACATCAATATTAATATGACCACTTTGAACCTGAAAGAAGAGAAAGTGGGAAGTAGTCTACAAGATATAGGCACAGGAGACCACTTCCTAAGCAGAACTCCAGTAACACAGACAATAAGAGAACCAATGAATAAATGGGACCTCCTGAAGCTGAGAAGCTTCTGTAAAGCAAAGGACACTGTCTGTAAGACAAAAAGGCTACCTTCTGACTGGGAGAAGATCTTCACCAACCCCTCATCAGACAAAGGTCTGATCTCCAAAATATACAAAGAACTCAAGAAACTAGACACTAAAACTCTAATTAACCCAATTAAAAAATGGGGTACTGAACTGAACAAAGAATTCACAGCAGAAGAACTTCGAATGGCCAAAAGACACTTAAGGTCATGCTCAACCTCCTTAACGATCAGGGAAATGCAAATCAAAACAACTTTAATATACCATCTTACACCTGTCAGAATAGCTAAACTCAAAAATGCCAATGATAGCCTATGCTGGAAAGGATGTGGAGTGAAGGGAACAGTCATCCATTGCTGGCATTAATGCAAATCTGTGCAGCCACTGTGGAAATCAGTGTGGCGGTTTCTCTGGAAACTGGGAGTCAACCTCCCTCAGGACCCAGCAATTCCACTCTTGGGAATATACCCCAAGAGATGCCCTATCCTACTACAAAAGCATTTGCTCAACTATGTTCATAGCTCCACTATTTGTAATAGCCAGATCCTTGAAACAACCTAGGTGCCCCTCAATAGAAGAGTGGTTAAAGAAGGTGTGGAACATATGCACATTAGAGTTTTACTCAGCAGTAAAAAACAATGACATCTTGAATTTTGCATGCAAATGGATGGAAATAGAAAACGCATTACTGAGTGGGGTAAGCCAGACCCGAAAAGATGAATATGGTATGTACTCACTCATAAGTGGATCTAGCCATAATTAAAGGTCTTTGAGTCTATAATTTGTGATACTAGAGAAGCTAAGTAAGTAGGTGAACCTGAAGAAAATCATATAGTTTTCCTCCTGGATATTCGAAGTAGACAAGATTGCTAGGCAAACTTGGGTGTACGGCGGGGGGGGGGAGGGGTTGGAAGTAAGGGAAGATGGTTAGAGAGAAGGGAGAAGGGGAGGATTGGGGATAGCTTCAGGGAATGGGATGTCGGGAGGGAGAAAGGATGGATATGGGAGCAGGGAAGTATATATCTCAACTAAGGGAGCCATTTTAGGGTTGGCAAGAGTCTTGATTCTAGAGGGGTTCCCAGGTCCAAGGAGAGGTCCCTGGGCAGCAGAGGAGAGGGTGTCTGAACTGGCCTTGGCCCATAACCATACTGATGAATATTTTGCATATCACTATAGAACCTTCATTTGGCGATGGATGGAGATAGAGACAGAGACTCACATTGGAACACTGGACTTAGCTCCCTAGGTCCAAATGAGAAGCAGAAGGAGGGTGAACGTGAGCAAGGAAGGCAGGATCAGAGGAAACCTTCATCCAACAATGGATGGAGATAGAGACAGAGGCCCACACTGGAACACTGGACTGAGCCCCCAAGGTCCAAATGAGGAGCAGAAGGAGCGAGAACATGAACAAGGAAGTCAGGACCGCGAGGGGTGCATTCACCCACTGATACAAGGGGACTGATTGAATGAGAGCTCACCAAGGCCAGCTGGACTGGCACTGAACAAGCATGTGAACAAACCGGATTCTCTGAATGTGGCTGACATGTGAGCTGACTGAGAAGCCTTTGACAATGGCACTGGATCTTGTTTTGTCTGCATGTACTGGCTTTTTGGGACTCGGTCTGTTTGAATGTCAGCTTCCTAGACCTGGAGGGAGGGGGGAGGAATTTGAACTTCCCACAGGGCAGGAAACCCTGACTGCTCTTAGGTCTGGACAGGAAGGAGGAGAGGGAGTGGGGGGAGTGGGAGGGTTTTTGGGGGGGGAAAGGAAGTGGAATTTTTTTAAAATAAATGAATAAGTAAATTTAAAAAACAAATAAAAAATAATAATAATTTTAATCATATATTTAGCTAAATACAAATCTAAGAAAATTAGGTAGCTTTGCATAAAGTATCTTATTGATACATTAATGATAAATTGCTGGATAATAAGTAAATCGATGAAGAAAATCTTTCAGGTTATTTGCACAAGTAAAGATTTCTCAATTAACATAAGTAAGAATTTATTAGTGTTGGAAAGAATTAATAAAGAGAATTTTAGAAGGAAATAAAAATATTTAGAAGGAATTCAAACATTTTAAATTTTTAATTTTTTAGTCAGAGAAAGATAACTTTTTATTAAATGTTAGTGCTCTACACCCAAAATAAGTCAAAACTCGTGAAGCATAATTTTCATGAGTTATTTGTACACTTGTATCAATTCCTTTTCTAAGAAATAGAGTGGACTATAAAGTATATATATATATATATATATATATATATATATATATATATATATATTTCAGATTTTTTTCCACTGGACTAAAATGCATAGGATGCATTAACTATTTGACAATTATAAGATTTCATTTTATATAATTATTTTTGTCATAAAGTTGTGAAAAGGTTTTGAAAAATTTAGATAGTGTGTTTCTTTTTTTAACATTATTTTTTACGGATTTAATATAGTAAAACAATATCTTCAGCAACTTCTTTGAAATTTTCTACAATTTATTTCATAGCCATTTCATCCATTGTGAGACATTAATGTTCTCATATTTTAAAGGGAATGAATAATACCTTAATGACATTTATGCAAAGATCCAGAAAGAGTATGTGACTCAGTAACTTTAAATTGTTCTGACAGATATTGAAAGACAGCCCCATATAAAGGAAGTTTCTTTGTTGAATATTAGAACAGTGTTTTCCTTTGAAGTTCATTTCATTGACTCAATTCTTTAATGTGTCATGGTTTCTACCTAGTTTCTTCTGCAATTTTAATATTTTTAAAAAATATTGGAGACTTTAAAATTTAAAAATTAAGAGTTCTGGATTGTAAGATTTCTTAGAGGGTATAGGTTCCTAATAACAAACCTAGAGCCTGAGTTTGAATCCACATAGAAAAAGGAAAGAGCTAATCTTGATCATTGTCTCTAATCTCCACATATCAGCATGGAAGGCACAAACACAGGCCCACTCAAATGCACCTACATGTGTTTTACTCCATGCTAGCACAAACACATACTTAATACAAGTGCAACTTAAAATGAATGAAAAATTGTGTATATCCTTTAAGTTTTCTGGTATTGATTTCATAATTTCAATTATTTATAACATGTACAGTAAGATGTATAAAAGAGATTTGTGAAATGAATAAAAATGTTTTCTATATGCTTTCAAATTCTAAAATATTACCATATTGTTTTTGTAAATTCTTTGAAATCCTTGAGCAGATGTGTACTTTACTGCATTCCTTCTATTTTAGACAACAAGGAAAAACATTACATATCCTTGGCCTATACTACTTATTAAAAATTTTGCACAAACATTGTTACACATTAGCTTAAACAGCAAATAGTCACTGGAAATAATTGAAAAAATGTTTTGCCCATTTGCCTAAAATCAAACATATGTCATAATTTAACATTTGAAACATATAAAAGAGGTAAGGATAAAAGTACCCACATTTAATCCATGATGGTTGGGAGTAATTTAAATATGTCAATGTAAAGAAATAATATTTTCTATTTTACTGCTATTTTATCTGTGATTTCCTGTAAAAGATGGATTATAATTGAATAAAGATTCCCATGCACTTTTACTATAAATTTCTCAATTCAAAATTATTGTTTATTTTTAAACAAAGTAATTACTAATGCAGCAAGATTTCATCACTTTGTTTCTTCAAACTGTATGATTATTGTTTTCATATGTAATGAATTTAGTAGTCATCTTGCATAAAATGACTTTGGGTTGAATTTAAGTTTCTATTAGTGGAATAATCTAGAAAGGAGCATTTCTCTCTCTTTGTGAGTATTCAAATGCACACATTTGAAAGTGGTCAAATTGGCACATGATTTTAGAACATTGTAATATTTTTACCAGTTGAATAGAATTAACAGGGACTATTGAAAATGTCATTCAAATTTCCACAAGAATTTGAGACTTAAATATAAATTAAAATAGCAATGTGTCTGTGAGACATTTAGTGTGTCACATCTTTGCATCAAAGCAGATATTGTGGTCTGATAGTTCATGCCATCACCCTTATGGAATAAAAATAACAATGGAAACATTACCTTTCGTATTGTAATGATTCCTTCCTGTGTGTCTTTGTCAGCAGATATCTTGAAAATCTCCAACCCATCACCATCCACTATTTTGTATTCCATTTCTGCATTAACACCTATATCTGCATCAATAGCTTTAATTCTGGCTACAACTGATGCCACAGGCAAAGATTCTGGAACATTGTACTGGTAAGATCCTGTGAAACGTCAAAATAAAGAATGAACAGAACATTCTAATCACCCTCTTCTAAAAACTACAAACTTTTTTGTGTAATATATTATGATTTCATTTTCCCAAAATGGAAAAGCTAAGACAACATAAAATAAATGATGCTTGATGAAGCCTGAAGAAATGTGAGATTGATGGTTTAGCAACGACAAGTAAGAAACATTTCCTAAAGAAAGTCAGGCTAGATTTATGAGAAATATGTTTCCTATAGTAATTAAACTAAACTAATGATCAAAATATAATTATTAAGCATATTTTATCATTTAGATACACTAATCACCACAATAATACAGAACAATAAAAGGGTTCCTATTACAAATTTTGAAAGGCATAACTAATATTTCCAGTAAGTTAACACTGGAATTTGTTTAATACCTTTTACAAGAAAGCTTCCACAAAACTGAAAAAAGCACCTATGGGGAGGGCAATATACGTCTTCTTGTAAAACATTAATATTCTTTTAGAGAGAAGAGTTGAATTTGTGAGTTTACAGCCCTGATTTTGGACATAACAGTGAAAAAAATATTAAAATTATTTAAAAGCTATGAAGAAAAGAAAAAGAGAAAAGACCAATATAACCTTTTGTTTCACTGCTTTCTTAATCATTTTTACCCTTTCCCAGATAAAAAGGAAATTTTGAGGGAAGGTGTGGAAGAAAGTAGGGATGCAGGTGAGGAATATGATCCTTGAATATTTTCTTCTAATTATTTATTTTCCTTGCCTCTTGAACTTTACTTCATATCCCATTAGTTGTAAATCCATGATTCATTTTCAATTTGGAATATAAAAGGGGCACACTGTCATTAAGTGGAATGTAGAAAAGAAATGGAGCACTGTTATTTTGGACTGCAATTTTTGAATACTAGATACTACAGTTTTTAAAATGGTTGCTATATATCTGTAAAATTTCACTGGCTTCCTCCCACACATAGAGGTATTCTTTGCAAAACTCAAAGATTTAAGGGGTACAGTAGTAACACATTTGTAGAGAAAGACAAACAAAATTATTAGTGTTTGTGTTTCTTCACTTTAGAATCCAAGAAAGGGTCTGAAAAAATGGAAAACCTGGGCTCCTTGTCAGGAAAGAGATAGCATCCCTTCACCAGTTTTAGAGAAAGCAGTCATTTAACAAGGAACCTAAGATAACAATAGCATTCTTTTCTAAAATCCCTTCTTTCTTCCCATAGTAAACAATAAAAGACATGGAATGAAGGGGTTTTTAATAATATTTTTTTAAAAAAAAAAGCCTTTTCTGCTTTCTGGAAGTACCATAATCTTTCTTGTAAAATAAAACAAATATTAAAATACCAAATTTTTATTTTTAATTGAGAAAATAGGATAAGCATTTGCACAGTAACTCAAAATGGTTGTTTTATACGATGTAATTCTCTCTTTTGGTATGGAATTGAGTTCCCTGCTTCTACTGGACAAACACTTTAGTGACATTGCACAGACAGACCTCCTATTGATGAGTTTTAAGCCACTGCCAGTTAAGAGTGGCTGGAAAAGGGGAGTTCCCTCCTTAAAGAAGTCAAGTTCAAGATGACTTTTTGCTAGTTATGATCTCCCTATTTGTCCACGTTCTTTTAGACAAAGCAAAGTAAATGCAGTGAGCCACAAACAAACAAACAATATTTGGTAAACTCATTAGCAAGAAGGATTTCCCAAGAAAGAGGGAAGAGAATAACAACTGATGATTATGAAGAATTATGCCATGGTGCATTATATATGTATTCAATTATAAAAGAAAGAAAGAATTCTCTTTAATATTCTAAAGAAATTTCATATGTTACAAAAGCTCGGGAAATAAGAAGCATAGGATATAACAGTTTCATAAAGAGGACACAACTACCCTAGGGACACAGGTTTTTAGTTTTACTTTTATTTATTTCTGGATTAGTCAAAAGCCACTTAGGACAGAAGTTCATCTGATGATGAATTTCTGTTGCTTTCAATTGCATTCTTTTAATGTATTTAATTATGTATGAAAGAAATAGAGTGCAACTGTAAAAAATGTTCAGTGTATATGATCTTATTAAAAAGCATAAAACAAGCATATGATTAAAATAAGTTGAATCTCACCAATTTGCGCACTAAAAAAGTTAATAATTATAAACAAACTAATTTAAAAATAACCACTACTATTTTAAATCCGTACAGGCAAAGCAAAACTTTTCTGTATAGACCAGAGAGGTGGCATTGCTAACTGACAGTTACTATAGATACATAGCACCAACTAAAAGAAAACTTCAATAAGTATAAATATCAAATTACAATTAGTACTTATTCACAACTCAAAGTAAAAATTCAAGGAAGATTGTATTTTATTTAGAGAGAAATATGAAGATGTATTACCACTCCATATTAACCTTGTTATTACATAGCCAAAGATTAAATTAGGCTCCTGATAAAACACAAATTTGGGAGAAATCATAGGAGTCTTCTGTCTGCTTTTGGAACCCTTTTCTGCCTACTGTGTTGCCTCAGTCAGTCTCAATTTGTGGGTTTGTGCCTAGTCTTATTGTGACTTTGTATGCTGCGTTTGATTAGTATCTCAGTAAGGATTTCCCTTTTTTACAGAAGACAGGAGGGAGAGTAGATCTGGCAGAGAGTGGAGGTGGCACAGGAGGGACTGGGATGGAAGGAGGGAGTTGAAACTATGCTTGGATATAATATATGAGAGAAAGATAAATAAGAGACAAAGATAATATTTGAAAATATGTAAAGACTGTAAAGTTGTTTTTAAATTTAGTCATCTCATTGAATAACTTACTTCGTGGAAAGCGTGGTGGGTTATCATTGACATCAGTTAGGGTCACAGTGACTGAAGTGGTTCCAGACAGTCCGCCATTTTGACCAACCATATCCTTTGCCTGAATGACAAGCAAATACTGGTCTTTAGCCTCTCTATCCATGTTTGGAAGGGCAGTTTTGATGACTCCTGTAAGATTGCAAATCTCAGTGAATAGCACCATGATTCACTGCATTAAAATAGCAACAAACATTAATAAAAGAGCAACATGTCGCTCCCCAGCTGTGGTGATTTTTGGCTTGCTTTTTTATTTTAGTGTATATTAGAAATCACTGGTGTATACATAATTTATATATAATTTATATATTCACTTGCACATCATATTAATATATATATTTAAACATAATAATAAAATTCAAAGAAAATATTATAATATGGTCTTTTCCATATTTGCTTCAGAAAATTATTTTTAGGTTTTGTTTTCCAGAGCAGTGCCTATTTAACCTGTCTAAATTTTTACTCAGTGCTAATATTTCTTATCTCTGGTGTCTGTAGTCCCGAATTTCCTCTTCTGTATATTAAACTTGTTGTATCTAAGATAGCTGTCAAAAAGACTGACAAAGAATCTCTAACTTCATTATAACCTGATCTGCATGTTAAATAGTACACTATCAAGTGCTTGAGTAGTTGACAGTTGCCATAGTGATAAATGGAAGAAACTACACAAATAAAAGATTTGGCACTTAGAATTCTTAGAAAGTGCTCATGTACCCATAGGAAATACGTGAACATATTTCCTGTTTGTGAGTCTAACCCTTTTCATTTTTTCTGCTCCCTTTCTTTAACCTTTATACCTCAACATGACTGAGAAAGTATTGGCCAGTTTGGTCATCTATCTTGCCTATACTTAGGCAAGTCAGCTACACAGTGATTGCAGGTGAGCTTGATTTCAGAATGAAACCTAGTATCTAAAAATCAAAACCAACTTCTGGTGGAGGAAGTCTATAATTCTAGCATGTAAGAGGTAGGGAACAGATGATCAGGTGCTCAATAACAGTAAGCTGAATAATAACCTAGACTACTCTCTCAGAAATTATCATCATCCAAAAAGCTTCAGCTTCTCAGTGGAGGTTTAGACTTAGTTTTGCTTCCAAAATACGAAATGACAAAAAGACCATCATGCAAGCAAGAGCTGCTAAAATTTCTGAACAAAAATAGTGAAATGAATGGCACTTTAAAAATGAACAAGGTGACATTCTTATTTCTAGAAATGAGAACATACAAGATAAAGGATATGGTAATTATCTTTTTTGTTATCCCACTCAAAATATTTATAAAAATGTATTATCAAGTACAAAGACTCCAAGTTCATTGGATCTGTATCTTATGTAATCATACTTATGCTTCTGTCTCCCACTGTCTCTAGAAACATAGCTACTATTACACAGATGTATGCAACACATCTGCATCTATGCCTTTGAGTAACACCTCCTCACACAGGCAAATTTTTGTTTTTGACATCACTCACTTTTTCGAAACACATTATGCATAACAGGGGATAGTACGTATCTGCATAGCATCACAGACTAACATTTTCAGGGCTGTTTGCTGTCTATGTACTATTATTTTTTTTGAAACATGACCATAAAATACAAAAAAATTGCTTTAAACTCAACAGTTTTCTTTGTGAAGAGTCTGATGCTAAAGTAATCTTTGTGAACTGCAATGATTTTAGTAATATTTCATGTTTCTTTGGTATTTCTAATGCTGTAGCGAAAAAAGCATGAGCTTCACTCAGCATAGCTATTCAAAAAGAAACTTTCTTAGGGTATGAATTTGTGAACTAAGGTACTTATGTTTTTTTTCTATATTCTTATTTTTATCTGTCACTAATAAGTTTAGTGTGTCTTTCTTTAACAAAAAGACTGAAAATATACTGGGTGGTGGTAACATATGCCTTTAATCTCAGGGCTTGGAAGGCAGAGGTAGGTGTAGACCTCTGTAAGGTCAAGGTCAGCGTGATATACAAGACTAGTTCCAGGACAACTATGTCTGTTACACAGAAAAACCTTGTCTTGAAAAACAAAGCAAAATGAAAGAAAAGGACTAAAAATCTTGAGAATTTGGCTAATCAATACATTTCATTTGATTTAAGAAAGTAATTATTTTACAAAAAGTGTTCTATTCAAAGTTTCAAGGTTTTATTTCAATTCATCTTCATTTTTCCAACATTAATGTGTGTCTACTAACACCTCTGCAAAATAGTATGATATAGAAACATTTACAGCAAATAAAAAAGAATGTTCAGCTTCGTCTCTCAGTAAGGCTTCTCACAGTGAAATCAGGACCTCTGCTTGGAGCTTAGCTGGCTTTTGGTAACCTGTTTTTCATGTTATATTACGAGTCTCCTGCCTAAACTTGATGCTCCATGCTTTATGCCAACCCATGAGAAGCCTGTTCCTTTCTGAATAGAGGTGGAGGAGGACAGGAGAGGTTAGATAGAGAAGGGGAGGTAATTGAAAAAGAGGAGGGAGGGAAAACTGGTTTGTATATAATATTTTAAAAAGTTATATAAATTTAAAAAAAAAGAAATGCTGGGAGGTAGATGTAGTTGTTTACTAAATAAACCACTTATTTTGCAAAAATGAAGACCAGTTTGAATGCCCAGAACGTATGACTAAGTCCAGCAGGTGTGGTGGCCCTCATTGACCCTACATTTCTGAGACAGAAGCAGTGAATCACTGGGGCAAAATGACCAGCTACAACAATCACAATTGTTGGCACTCTTTAATAAATAAAACAGAGTTTGAAGACTCCACTGTCAGCCTGTGACTTCCACATATGTTTGTGAATACACACATGCTCACTGTGAGTATAAACGTTTTAACATACATGAGGAAATGCATAACACATACACATACACACATATACACACAAAGGCAATTAAAAAGGTGAGCAATTCTGATTGCTCTGACTTCCTAGGTTTACCTAGTGACATTATATTTTGAAGGAATTACAATATCTTTAGGTTAGAAGTCTGGATATCAAAGTACCTACATACTTTTGAAACTTGCAATTGTCTCTTTATGAATGACTATATAAATAACATTTTTTTCAAAACTAAGATAATCACAAAGCTTACAAGGTAATACGGGTGGTAGAGGCAATTTCCAAATTGCTTAGGTACTTCACAAACATCAACTAATAGGTACAAATATCTGGCAATATTTCATTTATTGCTATTTTAATTTTGTTTCTTTAATGCTGGCGAAAGGTAGTCTGATAAAACATGACCACTATAATCTGTGGTAGCATTGTGAAATTGAAAAAAAAATCAGTAATCAATAATTTGTAAGTCATATATGGTGAAACTATAAATAGATCATTAACTCTTTAGAAGTATTTGGTCTTCTTTTCAGTTTTCTATGCTTTCTTATTTTAAACAAATACATACAATCTGAACTTTATGCTTGGTAAAATATTTCTGATAACTAAGAATTTTTTATTTATAATTCCCAATCATACAAAACATCCTAACACACACACACACACACACACACACACACACACACACAAACAAACACACACACATACACAAGGCATGAATATATTTTGCTTTCATTCAACAATTGTTTGTTCTATAGTGTGAGGAAATACACCGATGATTTTCTAATGTGTCACAAACTATGATAGATTTTTAGAACATATCCTCTTACCATGGACACTTAATTTTGTAGTGTGATCATGTGTAAGAGCAAAATATTTTTTCTGTAATAAGTCACAGTGTAGGTAACTGCTTAGTATATGCAATTTTTCTTCACTCTCTGCTTTGAATTAACTCTTGGAAAACACATGTTATCAGGAAACACAGATATATTTATGCTGTGAATGATCAATTTATTGATATTCACATTTCTACAATTAAAACATTTAAAATCATGCTTTGAGTAGATTAATAGTAACATTTGAATCTCAGTGTTGAGGCACCAGCTTTCTGAGGTGCTTCATTATTGAGAAGACTTCTAACCAGGAAGGACAAAGATCTGTGCTCACTGCCTTGGAAAACCTCTAATATTTCTCCTCTCATCATTGCAACCTTTATTTCATATAGTCATTCTGACAATTCTAAGAACTTAAAACTAAATGTTAACATACCAGCTTCCTTTTTATTTCTTTGAAGTTAAATACACTTGATGCAAACCTTTAAAAAATAGGTATAGACAATCTTTGAAAGAAAGCTACTAGTATTAACAAGGAATGTATGTGCAAATATAGAATTTAAGAAAATCATGTCATTTGCTCCTTTCCTTTGTTTTTAATTCATTTTGTCAGTTCTCTTTTAGGTACTTCAAAGGTAATAGTTTTATGGGAATATACACCCATAAATAAGAACAGTATGTACAACTGTAAATGAAATATGTACACATTCTCTGGATTTAGTCTCTCTCAACATACCTTATAAATATTAAAATTACTTAATAACAACATAAGCTTCTTTTTTATATATAGATGACTGTTATGTTACCTGATGTTTAGAAACAGTGCACATCTAAAAATGATCTCTAACACAAAATTATTCTAGCTTTCTTAGTTAGGGTTTATATTGGTGTTTCAAAATATCATGGCCAAAAAGCAATTTGGGGAGGAAAGGGATCATTTGGATTACACTTCAGCATTGCTGTTCATTACTGAAGGAATTCAGGACAGGAACACAAAAAAGACAGGATCCTGGAGGCAGGAACTGATGCAGTGGCCATGGAGGATAATGTCTATTGGCTTGCTTCCCCTGGCCCACTCAGCTTACTTTCTTATAGAACTCAGGACCACCTGCACAATGAAGGCAAGACATGCAATGGGCTGTGCCCTCTCTCAGTGATCACTAAATGAGAAAATGCCTTACAGCTCGATCTTATCAAGACATTTCCTCAACTGAGGTTTCTTCCTTTCAGATGATTCTAGTTTGTGTCAACTTGACACAGAGAATCAGTCAATACACTATACAAGGCCCAACTGTGTATTTTTCCACAAAATGGTAATCTGCTACATTACATAGGAGGAGTACACATACTCCAGAAGTATTCAGATTGAGTAGCAAGGATGGCCCCTGTAAACTCAGTCCTAATGTTTCTTTACATTCTTTTGTTTTGAAAGATTCCATTCTCTGAATAAACTCAGCAACTCATTTGTTA